CCCCCCCCCCCCCCCCCCCACCTCCCTCCTCCCCCAGCCTCCTCCTCATCTCCCTCCTCCCCCATCCTCCTCATCTCCCTCCTCCCCATCCTCCTCCTCATCTCCCTCCTTTCTCATCTCCCTCCTCCCCCCTCCTCCTCCTCATCCCCCTCCTCCTCATCCCCCTCCTCCCCATCCTCCTCCCCATCTCCCTCCTCCCCAGCCTCTCTGGAGGTGGTGACATCAGGTCTTCCCTGGTCCTAGGAGCTCCATCATCCAAGCTGGAATGACACAGGAAGGGTAATGTCCACTAAGGAGGGAGTGGTCTGGTGTCTGATCTTAAACAGATGTCTTCAGACATCCAATTGTCAGATTTGGGGGGCAGCTTTGATTAGGTGTGTGCGCTCACATGCATTGGAGGATGCAACCACTGGAACAAGCTAGAGAGGCTGGGGTGGGGGTGTGACGGGACAGAGTCAATGACTTTTGGCAAAGGGGATAAGGAGAATTGCCCTCCCCCCAACTTCCCCAAACCAGACACTAACAGGTTTCCTGGGAGTCTGACAGGCAAATGTGAAATAACCAGAGACCCATCCAAGACACAGTAATTAACAACTAAATTGTGCAAGGCTAGATGGCCTCCGGGGGAGCTAAGAGGGAGGGGAGCAGTGTGAGCCGGAGTCAGAGAAGCTGGAGATGGTGTGGGGAGACGGGGAGGATGCAGGGCAGGGGACAGCTATGGCTTCCTTGGGAAGGGAGGCCTGATGGGCTCAGAGGCACAGGAGGGGGTCTTGGAATCACACCGACCAGTTGACTCTCAGCTCTGCTATTTACACAGTGTGATCCACACAAAGCATTTGCTATTTTCCCTGTTTGCAAAACAAGCAGTGATTGCCCGGCTGAAGGGAGTTATAAAGGCCACAGATAATGGCTGTGAGTGCCTGGCAGGTGGCATTCCTGTCATTATGAGAAGGCAATAAAGTCCAAGGCAGATGTAGCCTGGAGTCTGAGGAAGAGAGAGCCAAGGGCAGAAGCGAAACACGTGACCTCGTGTGGACGAGAAACACGTGACCTGACCTCCGTGTGCACCAGGAAGCACGTGACCTCGGGGCGCGCACAGCAGGGCTTGGAGGGCCCTGCAGCTGGCGAGCTGCGGAAGGGAGGTGAGGTCAAGGCTGGTGATCCAGGCAGACAGGGTGGCCAGGCTGAGTGACAACTAGTCAGCAAAGCTATTGCCACAGAGAGCCCTGGGCGTGGGACCGGTTGGATGAGCGAAGTGATTCACAGGTAGACAATGCCTGGTTCTCAGCTTGAGGGTAGGGAGAGGCAGGGTACCTTTGGCAAACCAAGAAACTGGGGCACAGCTGAGAAAACTGGATGAAGGAAGACTTGTTCATTTTAATATCTGGGGGCTAGAAAGACAGCTCAGCAGTTTAAAAAAAAAAATCACTGGCTTCTCTCGCAGAGGACCTGGGTTTGAGTTCCAGCACCAACATGGGCACTTAAACCGGCTGCAACTCCAGTTTCAAGGGATCTGGTGGCCTCTTCTGGCCTCTAGGGGTACTGCATGCACATCTTACAAGCCATACATGCCGGCAAAACAGCCATACTCATAAAATAAAAGTGAATTAAAAATAAAATATTTTTAGCTGGGTGGTAGTGGCACAGGCCTGTTAATCCCATCACTTTGGAGGCAGAGGCAGGTGAATCTCTGAGTTCGAGGCCAGCTTGGTCTACAGAGCAAGTTCCAAGACAGGACTGCACAGAGAAACCCTGTCTTGGGGGGGGAAAGTTTTTTTTTAACTGGACATGGTGGTGCAACGCCTTTAGTGCCAGCATCAGGAGACAGAAGCAAACAGATCTCTAGGAGTTTGAGGCCAGCCTGATCTACAAGCAGGTTCCAAGACAGCCTGGACTGTGACAAGGGAAACCCTGTCATGAAAAACAAAACAAAAGCTACGTTTATTTACTTATTCATTTTGTGTAGGGTGGGGACACACATGCCACCTTGCCTTCGAAGGTCTGAGGACAACCTGAAGGCGCTGGTCCTTCCCTTCCACCATGTGGGTTCCAGGATTGAACTCAGGTTCTCAGGCTTGATGGAAAATGTGTTTACCCTCTGAGCCATCTCGATGGCTCTCAAAAAGCCGGTAATTTAAAGCTGGGTATAACAGAACACACCTCTAATCCCAGCACTCAGAAGGCAGAGGCAATCAGAGTTCTGTGAGTTCCAGGATAACCTCATCTATAGAGCATGGTCCAGGATAGTCAAGGCTACATAATGAAACCCTATCTCAAAAAAAATTTTTTACATAATTTTAAACAATTTTTTATTTTAGATTTTGAAATTTTTATGTGTGTGAGCATCTCACCTGAGTGTAGTTTGTGCACTATATGTGTGTCTGCTGGCTGTGGCGGTGGGAAAAAGGCATCAGATCCCTAGCACTGGAGTTATGGTGGTTGTGAGCCACCACAAGGATGCTGGGAACTGAACATCCGTCCTCTGAAAGACTAGCACATGAACTATTCTTAACCAATGAACCGTCTCTCCACCCCCACTCCCACCCCCACCCCCACCCCAATTTTTGGTTTTAAAACAAATATACCTGCCTCTCAAAATCTGAAAGGCCCTAGGTTCAATATGCAATACCACACACGGTATTCTAACGGCAAACGCCCTGTGCCTCTAAGATGGCTCAGCTGGAGACATCTTCAACACCATAGTTCCAGTTTACATTTGGGGAGAGTCTTATAAGAACAACACCATGGGGTCAGGGCACTGAAGAGATGGCTTGGGGGTCTCTTGATCTTGCAGAGAAGTTGGGTTTGGCTCCCAGCGCAAACTCGGCAGCTCACAATCATCTGAACTCCCGCTCCAAGGGATCTGCCGCCCTCTTCTGGCTTCTGTGAGCAGCAGGCACACATGTGGTGCACAGATGTCCCCACAGACAAAACACCACACACATAATAAAAATGCAAATAAAAGAAAAAGATCACAAGGGCAGAGAGCCATTGTCGTGAAGAGTAGACTTGATCGTTATAAGGCTGGAGTGTTGGGATCGTCTTCCTTTCCCACAGGCCTCAAAGCTGCCACCCAAGGCACTGAGCTGGCAAGGGACAGCTGGCTTTTTATGAGAGAGGACCTCCTGCCATCTCTGAAGCATTCAACTAGATAGTCCTGCCAGGAGAG